AATTGTATTCTGCTTCTTCTTATTATTATTGTGTTCTTCGTCTTTTTACGGCATTTGCTTGCCGTGGTGTACTGTGTGTATGCTCTGTTTGTGTGTTTTAAATTCCCTTCTGCTGCTGATGCTTCTTCTTTTTTGTCTCTTCTGCATGTTTTTCCTTGTTATTACCATTGACGCCTCTCACACGACGACGGCATTGCAGCCGACCCGACCGACCAGCCATTGTGTGTATTACAATAGATTTGTGAATATACAAACAACAATACACTGGCTGTACTCCTCTCTGTGTTGTGCATGCCTGCATAAGCAAGCATTGTGTGCTGCAATATCAAAGAAAAAGAAGAAGCAGCAGCAGCAAACAAGAAAAAAAAAAACAATCCCAAGCAAGCACCACAAAAAACCCAAAGAAGAAGTTGTTCCTCTTTTGTAGTCGTAAATTCAATGCGCGCCCTATAATAATACAAAAACCAAACGAAAAAAAGAAAAAAAAATAAACAGAAAAAAGTTTGCTTTCGTGAGGATGATGGTGTGTGTGCGTTTTATCTTTTTCCGAAAATAAGAAAAAAATGAAATGAAAAACAAATGAAGCAGCAGCAGCTACCGTGTGATGTTGTATGATGATGATTTGTTGTGTGTGTGTTTAGTGTGCATAGAAGAAGAATTGTACAGTATAGAAAAATAAGAAAAAGAAGAAGAGTGGTGTGTATTATTATTATTATTACTGTTTGACATTGTCATCATCTCCGCTCCTCGGGTTTAGTGCAGGAGATCGTTGGCAAAGAGGCAAATAAAAAAGCATACTTTGTATTATAATACTATGAGGAATGGAAAAAAAGTGCAAAAACAACAACAACACAAAATAATAGAAAAAAGGAACAACAAACAAATGTAATGCAATGATGATGAGAACAAACTTTTTTTATGTGAGTGCCGTGTAGTATAAACGGCGGCGGGTGTGTGTTTGTGTATACGTTTGGTTTGGGTGTCGGTCGTCGTCTGCTGTGCAAATTTTTGGAATGTTATGTCTGCTGTTCGGTTTGGTTTTTTTTGTCGGTATTCCTTACCTTTTTGTGCCACACTTTTTTTTTGTTACAACGAATTGTGTTTTTTCTGCTTCTTGCCTTGCGTGTGAAATACTAAAATCAAAGTTTGAGTAACAAAAGAAAAAATGCCACAACAACAAGAGATCAAAAGGATATGGAAATAAAAGTTTCTTTTTTATATTTGGGGATTGCCCTTTTCCTTAAGTGTTTAAGTGAGTGTGTGTGCAATAGCATTGGAAGAAAAAAATATCTCCACCAGCCAAGTAGAAGGAAAAAAAAAATAAATGACAAGAAATAAAAGTGCAAACAATATTCTTCTCTTCCTCACCCAGACAGACATCCAAGGAATAATGTCATCGTATTCACCTATTTTGGATTATTATTTAAAAGAAAGACATAAAAACTATTGGAATGCATTTTTCTTTTTTTTTCAATTTTTTTATTTTCCTTTGCTTTCTGGCCTGTTTTCCCCCCTTGGCCATGCCATCACAACAACAAGAACAAACAATTCGTTGACTTTTCTTGTTAGTCACATAACCCCCAGGTTCGTGTTATGAAAGCCAAAACAAAACGAACAAACTTTCACCGGTAAATTCCGGGAACAAAAAAATAAAAAATTGGGAATAAATTTCTTTTCGTTTTGTGGAATTTCCTTGATTTTTTTCAAACACGAATATTATTTAATTTCCTGATTTTTTTGAAATCTTTAAAAAGAATATTTTTCGACAATTTTGAAAATTGCACATTTTTTCTCATATTTCGAAAAAATACGATAGCAAATTCCATACCAATATAACCCAGAAAATATCTTCTAAAAAAACAATAGGGACAATTTCTTTATTTTTTTTACCCAACCCAGTAAACATTTTTGTGAAAATTTTCGATATCTTTTATAATTTTTAAAATGTTTGAGAAAATTTCCAATTTTGTGGACAAAAAACGTTTCTCTATTCTTAAAGAAAATTCAATTTTATTTGGTTTCTTGATTTTCTCCATTTATTACTTTGTAACCCAGCAAACATTTTTGCATAATTTTCAAAATTTTTGTAAAAATGTTCGGGTTTTTATTTCTAAAAATGTTTCTCTATTATAAATGAAAACAAGGGGAAGCAATTTTTCTTCTTTTCCTTGAATTTTTCAAATTGTTGCTCAGTAAACCAGCAAACTTTTTCATTTTTTTTTTTTTTGAAAAAAATTGGTTATTTGTAAAAAACATTTCTCTATTCTAAATGAAAATACGATGAACCAAATTTTCTCTTTTTTCTTGTTGGTTTTCATTTTTTACTTAATAACCCAGCAAACACTTTCGCATAATTTTCAAAATTTTTGTGAAAAACTTTCGATTTTTTATTTCTAAAAATGTTTCTTTATTCTAAATGAAAACAAGTAAAATCATTTTTTCTTCCTTTTCTTGAATTTTCCAAATTGTTGCTTAGTAACCCAGCAAACTTTTTCAAAAATTGTGATTTTTTGTAAAAAAAACTCCTCTATTATTAATGAAAGTAAACCCAATTTTTCTTCTTTTTCTTGGATTTCTCCATTTTTTACTTAGTAACCCAGCAAACTTTTTGTACAATTTCCGAAATTTTTGTAAAAAAATTCAATTTTTTGTAAAATAAAGACATTTCTCTATTCTAAATGAACATAGGGTGAATCAAATTTTCTCCTTTTCTTGATTTTTTCCTTTTTTTCTTAATAACCCAGCACACATTGTGTATAAAATTAAAAACAAATTTGCAAAACATATTTTCACATTCTAATTCTAAATATTTTTATTCAGAAAATATTCTTATTTTAATTCGAAACCTGGGAAACAAAATTCCATTAAATTAATTTAATTTCTCTCATTTTTATTTATGAACCCAGCAAACATTTTTTTTTTTATTTTTCAAATATTTAAGGAAAGAATATTTTTTCATATTCTAATTAAAAGAGGGACAACAATTTATTTCATTTCTTGAAATTTCCCACATGGATACATTAATAACCCAGCAAACATTTTTGTCTAATTTTCATTTTTTATGCAGAAAACACTTTTATGTTGTAATTTGAAACCAGCAAACAAAATTCCATTTAATTACTTTAAGTTCCAATTTTATTTATGAACCCAGCAAACATTTTTGTCCATTTTTCAAATGTTAAATTTTCGAATTTGTTTATGCAGCAAAAATATTCTCATATTCTAAAAAAGCAAAATTCCTCTTATTTCGTGTATTTCCTACATGTTTTATTGACAACCCAGCAAACAATTTTGTATAAATAAAAAAATATTTAAGCAGCAAAAATATTTTCATATTCGGAGAAAGTACAGCATGAATAAAACCCCATTTATTTTCATTCATTTTTATGATATAACCCAACAAAAATTGTGTCATTTTCAAAATTTGTATAAAGGAAATATTCCAAGATTTTCATAATATATTTTCTGTATGGCATTCTATTTTCATTTTTTTTTATATTGATCTATTTCAATATACCATTATAAGAAAATTATAATTTCCCTTACTATTATTTTGATATTCATGTTCATATTTTTCTTGTGTCAATAAATGATGGCAACCCTATTTTTCATAATCAATTTGATGCTAATAAATCTATTTAATTAAATAATTTACATTTCATATTGATCTTTTATCAATGCTCTTTTTAATTATTTTTAACAACCGACATACGGCGTTATACGAGGCACTATCTACCGAAAACTGTATAATTCTTCTTCTTTTTCCAATTTGGGACTGTTGTCAGTCCTCTTCCTTTCTTTTGAATGGTGACGCGTTGTTTCATGTGTTTTTGACGTTTTAAATTAAATGAGAGCTGCTGCTGCCGCTTCACTGTGTTATCATTGAGTGCTTCTTCTTCTTTTGTGCGTGGACAGTGGGGAGAGTGTGAGAGCCGTCTATACACAGTGCAATAATTATTAAATTACATCTATTTTACAGCAGATGCCCGTTTAAATGAAACAAAAGTGAAATTAACAATAAATGATTAATAAACAACTAAAAGAAATTGCCTGCAATAACAACAAATATCCATAACAAGTGATGCGATAACAGCAGAAATCATTTGAGAGAGGGCGAGACGAGACGAGCAGCGACGAGAGTAAACAAATAAACTACGCGCGCAAATTATAACTAACATCAAAATTAAACAAATGCAAAGAACAAAAACGCGTATAAATAAATTAATAGCACTTTGAGTGTTAAAAAAATAACAAATTAAAAATACAACAACAAAAGTTTAACAACCTTTTTTTGTTACCAATGCAAAGGGAAAAGATATTCTTCACCACAATACAATATTTTCCACAAAATTCCAAAACGACTACGACAAAATTGCTAACATTTCAGAATACTTCGGAAACACAAGGAAGTACTACAACAACTGATGCGTTCAGCAATGCTAATACAATAAATATTTAATAATAAATTAAGAAAATACAAAAAAAAATACCCGGTTAAAAGTTAACTAATAAATAAAATAAGCAACAACAACAAGTGGAAACTTCTTTATAAGAAATAAAAAAAAGTTCCATACAAATAAATCTTAGGTTAGATAAATTATTAAATTCAATTGGCCAAATACCCAGAAAAAAACACAAATTAAAGTAAAACAAAACAGAAAAAACATGTCAGAACATAGCGCTTGGGGTCAACGCCAAGCGACTGCTGCCGAGGCTGCCCTATGGTGGCCCGGTGCACTCGCTGCGGCAGCCACACAACACCAACAACAACAGCAACAACAACAACAAACCATTGATCAGCAAACTCTTCAACATTATCAGCAACAATTGGTTGCCCAGCAACAACAACAGGCCGCTGCCGCAGCCGCTGCTGTCCAGCAACAACAACAATTGCAACAACAGCAGCAGCAGCAACAGCAGCACCAACAACAAGTTGTCGTCCAACAGAATCAACAGCAAGCCCATCAAAATAATGCCAACACCACTTCCGGTGTTGGCACCCAACAGCTTTTCACATACAAAATGGCCAGTAGTTTTCCCAATCCGGCCACAACGATGGCCCAAGTTGTTGCCACCTCCAATGCAGCCGGTACACCCGCCTACGATTATCGTCTAAATATGGCACAGGCAGCAGCCGCCGCAGCCGTACCCGGTTCACAGTGGTGGTATTCGGCAGCCAATCAGGGACAAATCGATGCCAATACAGCCGCCCAATTGCAACAGCAACAACAACAGCAGCAACAACAACAACAGCAGCAACAACAACAGCAGCAACAACAACAGCAGCAGCAACAACAGCAGGCGCAACAACAGGCGCAACAGCAGGCACAGCAACAGGCACAACAGCAACAGGCGCATCAGCAGCAGCAACAGCAATTGCAGCAACAACAGCAGGCGCAGCAGCAACAACAACAGAATGCGGTAAGTAAAGATATAACCTATTTATTGTTTCAAATGTTCGTCCAATCCTCTGCAATCCTTTGTGTTGTTTGAAGATACATTTCCATTATTTTTTTGTTGTTTGAAGATACATTTCCATTCTTTTTTTTCATCCTTTCTAGTGTGGCATCCTTAAATTTTTCTCTTTTCATGCACTTCTTTCATTTCCATATCAAAACAAAAAAAATCATAATCTGTTTTTTTCTTGTTGCGTTTTCATGGACCTCAGGATATAACCTCTAGGAGAAGGTTAGATTTGGGGAGTATATACAGTCGAAATCGCTTATAACGACGGTCGAGGGACCAGCGAAAATTGTCGCTATAAACGATGATATTCGTTACATGCGGACCTAATGTTACTTCTATATGTCGAAGTAACATTAGCCCTAAGGAGGGCAAATTCGAATTAATTCCATAACTCAAAGTTCCCTTTCATAAGTCGAAGTTTTTTTTTCGGGATGTCGAAGTTTCGGAATGATGGTTAAATGGCTGTAATTTTGTAATTCAGGCTGTAATTTTGTAATTCAGGCTATATTTTCAATATCGGATCATGTTTTGTTGTAGCACCCATATAAAAGTGCCGTCCGATATTCTGAGATTTCGGCACTTTTTCATCCGAATTGCCTGCGATTTGATATTTTGGATTCTCATTGGGTGCCAAATGTTCCTACCAAAAATAATCAATAGGTCCAAAATTCAGGTTAGCCCCCATACAAAGGTAACCTAAGTTATACGGAAATTTTAGGTTTAGCAAAAATTATCAATACTGACTGCAATTTGGTATTTTGGGTTCTCAAATCTTTCTACCAAAAATTATCAACTTTGGTCCATGTTTCAGGTTAGCCCCCTTACAAAGGTGTCCAAGTTATTCGGAATTTTTAGGTTTTCAGAGACGTTTTTAAGCCAAATTGGCTATAATTTTATATTTTATATTCTCTTGGGCTGACAAATATTCCTACCAAAAATTATCAATAAAGGTCCAAAATTCAGGTTGGGCCCCATAGAAAGGTGCACCTATTATTCGGTATTTTGGTGAGGGTTTTCAAGCGAATTGGCTGTAATTGGATGTCAAATCTCCTACCCAAATATTATCAACATTGCTCCAAGCTTCAGGTTAGCCTCCATATTTGAGAAATTTGAGGATTTCAGAGACGTTTTTCATCCAAATTGACTGTAATTTAATAATATTTTGGATTCTTATTGGGTGGCAAATTTTGTCACAAAAAATTATCAACATCGGTCCACGTTTTGGTATAGCCCCCAATATTCGGAAATTATGGTGATTTGTGGCACATTTTTCAGCGAATTCCCTCTAATTAGATATTTTGGTTTTCCGTTCGGTCTCAAATCTTTCAACCTTGAAAATTCAATATTGGTCCAAATTTCAGGCTATTATAGTATCCCAATTATTCATTATTTTGGACACGCTTTTCATCCGAGTAAGCTTTAACTTTATATTTTGGGTACTCATTGGATGCCAAATGTTCCTACCAAAAATTCTCAACATCGGTCAACCTTTTCGTATAGCTTCGCCTGTGGCCCCCAATATGCGGTATTTTGAGGTTTTGAGGAACTTTTTTAAACGAATTGCCTCCAATTAGATCTTGGCTTTCCGTTGGTTGTCAAATCATGCCCCTATATAAGAGACCCGATAGATTTTTTGGTATTTTGAGGGCACAAAGAGATCGGCCCGTGCGGAATTAATGACGTTTATTTTTTTCTTGTGATATCTAGGTACTCCAAATAAAATTCTGAAAATTGTCATTATCTTTTCTAATTTTAGCGCACATGATGGACTAAGATAATCATAATCTATTTTTTTTTCTTCCAAAATTCACGTGTCAGCCATAGACCTAATTTTTTAACATCGTTTTAAATTTTTTATTGCTTTATGTGTTGGCAGGCTAACAAATTATAGCAATTTACGCACGTAGGTGTATGCCGGGTACCTTTTCTCTACCTCCCTTGCCGCCTATATATCTGACATTTTTCGAAACTGTTGTCATATGCGCGCGTAGTTTATCTGGGATTTCACACACACATGCACACGTTTAGAAAATATTTTGCCATAATATACGACTTGGCCTGATAAGCAAGCAGCTGGTGTGGAACACACACCGAGTTGTTGTCACAGTGTTGTGAGTCAATTGAAAAAAAAAAGAAAATGTGAAATTAATTTTGAGGGGAAATTAGGAAGTATTGAACAATGGGAAGCCATTGAAAAGTATTTGGAGAAATGTCCAGGAAGATATTGAAGTCCTCCTTATATGAGAAAAATCTATTAAAAATGTAGCCGATTCTCTTCTTATGAGCCGATCAATAAAGGCATCTTGGCTATTCCACTCGGTGTTCTGATCTGTAAATAGTACATGCATATTGCAACGTATCATCACATTTATGGGTCCAATATTTGCTTAAAATGTAGGTTGATCTATATCTTTACACCTACTAGATGTAGTTCGAGTTTTTAAACCTGCAAATTAAATAGGAAAACATTTAAAATTATTTTATACACAAAATAATAAAATAGAACAAATACTCACTGTCTACATGTTATAGTACCTCCATTATTCGGTATTTTGGGACCGTTTTTTATCCGAGTGAATTTTATTTCTACATTTTGGTTTCTCATTGAATGGCAAACATTCCCACCAAAAATCAGCAACATCGGTCCACGTTTTAGTATAGCCCCCGTATGCCTGTGGCCCCCAATATGCGGAATTTTGAGTTTTTGAGGCTCCGAATTGACTGTAATTTAATATTTTGAATTCTTAATGGGTGGCAAATCTTGTCACTAAAAATTATCAATATCGATCCAAATTTTGGTATAGCCCCCATACACCTGTATCCACCAATATTCGGTATTGTAAGGTTTTCTGACACGTTTTTCAATCGAATTGGCTCTAATTAGAATATGATCAATAGGCTGGACATAGTGGCCTAATATATTTTACAGTGCGAAAAATTTCCGATTTAACGTACCATCCGGGTTCGGGCCAATTGTATAGTAGTTATATAATTTTAATATCAGTAATTTTTAAATTCACTTGTATTGCCATCCGATTATGGTTACAAAATTAATTTATAATCCTCTAAGTAGGTTATAAACTTTTTTTGGGTCTTCCTTTGGTCCACCTTTTCCCATTAAATCTCCTGTTGAAATTTAAAATAAATAATAATTAAGCCACTTCGTTGATGGACAATTGTCATCAAGAAGTGTACCACACCGTTCTTTTTTTTCTTTATACCTACTAGCCTATTTGAATGTGCAAAGAACGTGGCAACGAACAGTGCTGATAAGGAAAAAGCTAGAATAAAAAGCATGTGGTTCAATTTTTTTCTTGTTGTTGTTGTTCACGTTTGGCGCTTTATCATTACCACTGAGCCATGTGCTGTGTTTCCATATGAATTTGCTTGGTACTTTTTTATTTGTGGTGGTCGTTGTTTGTGGTTTTATTTGTTGTGATGACATGTGTGGTATTTGCTTTTTTAATGCTGTCACCACCAGCTAACTACCTCCTCCCCACATTGAAGCAACAATTCTGCTGCCTGGTAAATTATAATTTCAAACATGTTTCTTGAAACACTGATTGATGATTGATTTATGTTGGGATGTGGGGACACATTCGTAACAAGTAGTGTTTTTTTTGGAGGGAATTAATTTGCTTGATATGGTGTGTTCTATTGATAAACAATTTGGTTGTTTATGGGCTGGCTGGCTGCCTTCCCTCTGTAAAATAAAAACCTTATTAAATTAAATCGTTTAATTTTTTACTCATATTTAGACCTCGGATTTTGCATATTTGCATATTTTTAAATAATAAAGATATCGAAATTCTGATTGGACACAAATTCGTTTCAAAGGATTTAGAATTATTTGAAGGGTTCATATTTTTTAATTTTTTGCATATTTGCATATTTTGCATATGCACGAGATATGCAAAAAATATGCAAAATATGCAAAAAATATGCAAAATATGCAAAAAATATGCAAAATATATGCAACATATGCAAAAAATATGCAAAATATGCAAAATATATGCAAAATATGCAAAAAATATGCAAAATATGCTAGGTCGATATGCAATAAATATGCAAAATATATGCATAAAATATGCAAAATATATGCTAAAATATGCAAAAATATGCAAAATATGCAAAAAATATGCAAAATATGCAAACATATGCAAAATATGCAAAAATATGCAAAATATGCAAAAATATGCAAAATATATGCAAAATATGCAAAATATATGCAAAATATGCAAACATATGCAAACATATGCAAACATATGCAAAATATGCAAAAATATGCAAAATATGCAAAAATATGCAAAATATATGCAAAATATGCAAACATATGCAAAATATGCAAAAATATGCAAAAATATGCAAAATATATGCAAAATATGCAAACATATGCAAACATATGCAAAATATATGCAAAATATGCAAACATATGCAAACATATGCAAAATATGCAAAAATATGAAAAATATAGGCAAAAATATGCAAAATATATGCAAAATATGCAAAATATATGCAAAATATGCAAACATATGCAAAATATGCAAACATATGCAAAATATGCAAAAATATGCAAAATATGCAAAAATATGCAAAATATATGCAAACATATGCAAACATATGCAAAATATGCAAAAATATGCAAAATATATGCAAAATATATGCAAAATATGCAAACATATGCAAAATATGCAAAAATATGCAAACATATGCAAAATATATGCAAAATATGCAAACATATGCAAACATATGCAAAATATGCAAAAATATGAAAAATATAGGCAAAAATATGCAAAATATATGCAAAATATGCAAACATATGCAAAAATATGAAAAATATAGGCAAAAAAAATATGCAAAATATGTGCAAATATGAGCAACATATTTCACATATGCAATCATTTTAATCAAAAAAAAAAAAAAAAAAAATCAGGGTAGTTTTCGAATTTGTGTGC